GTGTTAAATTCCTGCCAATCAATAATGAAGAAGCTCATGTTGATAGATGCATTATTTGATGGTTCTGCACTCAATACTGTGGTCTTTCCGAGAGTAACACTGTTACAGGTTTCCCAAGCAAAATGTTTGGTCACTGTGGACGATTGAAAGCTATAAAGTTATAAATGACTGCTAAAGTTAGTACAGTAGCTAAAGATTTCTGTTAGATTTTTATAGACTGACAGCAGTTCTGAGGGTTAAAGCAAATAGTTCGATCCTTGATAAAGGTGGCTAAAAACAAATTTGAAAACTTTCCTAAAGTTTGGACGATTCAGGACTAAAGAGGGCTTGATGAGTCAGTTTAGATTCTTTAACTTTGGGTTCCTTTGAAATAGTATTCTTTAGAGAGTATTACAAATTTGAATGGAATTTGAATATAGATCACTAAAGTTTATTTATTTTCACTTTCACTCCAACTTAAAATGAATATAACGTAATACGTTTCAAAATGTTAATTTTTATCTAAAAAAATATGCGTTCTGAATAAATTAAGTAATTATTTGAAATATCGATGTTTATCAAATAATAGTCGCAAAGCGGATACAAGTGACTAAATAAAATCAAAAATTGTATTGAGAAAAATAGTGTACACCTTTTAATTAAATAAGTTTATAGCCATTGACTCAAGTAGTATTTGAAAATAGTTTTATTAGGCTACATTATTTTTTATTTAAACCATCAAAACCTTTAATTGAAAATAGTGAACAGAAGTTTAGAATTCATTCAATATTTTAGATAGCATTTTTGAATCTAATCAGTCCATATCTTTTATATCAGTCCAAAATCTTGTAAATAGGGGGATCAGTATTTTTGTTTTGTCTTTAGTTTTAAGTTAGGATTAGTTACTTGACAAGAGTCATCCTGTAAAACAGTTTGTACTGAGGAGCGCTTGCTAATAAAAGGCATTTTTATTTATTTATTTATATAGTTTTCAGGGAATGTTAATTAGAGAACACAATGATAAACATTACTGTCGAAATACAAAGACAAACAAAACAATTTTGTATGAAGGAGTCAACTATTTGGGTACCTACAGGTATTTTGAAATAGATAAATAATTAATCAGACTTGTGTATAGCTGTGTAAATGCCAAATTTAATCCAAAACTGACCAAAATTACTCGAGTAATAACGTTCACGGAGATATAAATAAATTTGTAAAAATGTTCAACTTACATGTTTTTGGTCTTTGTGGATAGCAAATCGAAAAATCTAATCAGTTTCGGGTCTAGATCTTACCGTACCACGGTAATAGTTCCCAATAATAGTATAGGGCATAGGGAATTTCGCAAAAATGAAACCCACAACTTCTGAACATAAAAATCGACATTTTTATTTATCTTTTTTTGTGAACACACTCAGTGAGGAAAAAATAGCTCTATGTTTTTCATTTTCAAACATTTTTCACCGTAAATTTTCATGGACTCCAGACACATTTTGTAATAGGGAAAAATTGATAACTCCAGTGATTATTATTTTGAGGTTATAATGCGAAAGGTTTTGTGACTATAGTACACAGTATAAATTACTCTTATTGTCTTATTTACATTCTTTGATATTCACACACCACCTAAAAAGGACAGTACGTCGAAAATTGTTTTAGGCCTAAGATTGGCTTCTAGCTATAGCATAGGGGGTATCCCAAGAGTCAAAATTATATTGGGGATTCTGATAAACTGAGGGTAAACATCAACTATCCCCGGGGGAGATGAGGGGAGGAAACTTGACAACACAAGAGACTTGATGACACTGTTGGGTAGATCTTCAATTGATAATTAATATCTGAATACTGCAATCCAAGTTCCTCTTATAGAAGTCTGTTTGGTATTTACATCAATATAATTCACCATAACTAAACCTGTGTATGGCTGGGAGTAACATATGCAAACGGATGGAGATGGGCATTTTTCTAATGGGGTATGTTAAAAAATTTTCTAATTTATTTATAAAACCACATTATGTTTTGCAGGAATTTAATATGGGATTTTTTAGCCAGATGTAGTAATATGTTTGGTGATAATCACCTCTAGATTCATTACCAGACTGGAAGTTAGTCTTTGTAATGTAAATATGTACATCAGGAGGCCAGTACAAAGGGCTCGACTCGTCAGACACTAATGTAGAGAAGCTGCGAGGATCGTTACCTTCGTGAGATGAGTTCAGCAATTGTAATTGAAATTGAAATACAGATAGGAACAAATGAAAACCCAAAATTTATAAATTTACAAACACACTTCGTTCTAACAATCCTAAACGATTGAGCGTCCATAGTAATTGTGTACGTATTATCTGCACCTCACAAATCAGTATTTATCGATTATCTTAAAGAGTTGTGATTACCATATTCTATTTGATAGTGGTATCGGATTCAAGTTTAGCGTTGTATACTTTGTAACGTCCAATATGGTTGGAGTATGTTTTCAATAAAATCCTCAGAAATTTTGACATGGCCTAAAAATTATAATATGGCCATCATATGGCCTAAACGAAACGTGAGGTTGCTTATCAGATTTGTTTGAATTTTACTTTTTATTTCTGGTTGAATGTGATACTACATTGTTCACAGAAGTTTTGACAAATATACGAGCAATACAATTATTAAAAGATTTCAGTTTCACTCAGTCTTGAGACGCCAAAATAATCAAATCATAATAATTTTTCCTAAATAACCCTAAATGATTAGTTTAAATTCTCAAGTTCGTGTAATGATAATTTGGAGCATTTCTATTTGTAATTACAAAAAGCATTAAGCAAAAGCCTACTAATTTATCATAGTTTTTCCTAGATATTTGACTGATTACTTAAGAAACAGTAAGCACAAAATGTTCTTAATCTAATGTATACAATTTGTTTACCACTTTTCATTTAACTATCTTACAAACAATGAAACTTATAATTAGTTTGCAGGGGTTTATTTAAGCTAATTCAAGCTGTTGCTACAGACTAGTTAGTTGATATGCTACAAGTCGCAGCTTTGTCAATTAGTGTCATGTAGAGTTGTACAGCGGAAGCTCAAGCAGCAGATCATTAGGCTTGTTATCAGTCTAGGTTCGTTAGTCATACTTACTGTTGGTAACATACGACTACTTCTTGCAGCGAATTGAGCCAGCGGGTTTGGTTAATTAGCTCTGTACCTCTACAACGCAGCGTTGTCAATTAGTGTCATGTAGAGTTTGTACAGCGGAAGCTCAAGCACCAGATCATTAGGCTTGTTATCAGTCTAGGCTCGTTAGTCATACATACTGTTGGTAACATACAACTACTTCGTGCAGCGAATTGAGCCAGCGGGTTTGGTTAATTAGCTTTGTACTGATACAATGCAACGTTGGAGATATGTTCAAAAAATTGAATGAAAAGTCTTTGGTAGTGTTTAGTGTTGTATTTTACATTATAAAATTAGTCTCACGCATATTATACGCTCTGTGTGTAATTAGTTTAGTTTTTATTATCATTTTACAATAGTCGTTTTACAAGTCGGGTTATCAAGCAATTTGTCTTGGTTAATAGGGTGTGTTTCGACCGTGGTTTCGATTGTTAATATTAATTTATTCCTTGATTGTTTTCTTAATACTTATGTTCGGATTTGCTTTAAGTGTGCCTGTGTTATTTACTAGTAAAATATACCACATGTAATCGAAATATGTTTATTAATGCTTTTGAATGTCATAAAACAGTGTATTTCTTGCATGGGAGGTTTACTTAAGGTGTTAAGTTTACAATCCCCCCCGACCCCCCCCCCCTGCATAAAAAGCGATAAAGTTAAAAATTTGTACTTTCGTGAGCTTTTTGCACAGCTTCCCCTCACCCATTAATCTTAATCATCGCGCGAACACGAACCGGATGAAAAACAGTTGATCGTTTGGATTTCCCATCGGACCGGGAATAGGAACAACGATTTTATTATGAAGAATCTGTGAATACTGTAATATTTCGTGACTACACTTTTCAGCTTTGGGTCGAATTCCTCGACAACACTTTAAGTTTGTTTCCATTCCATTTAAAATTAAGACATGTAACGTACTTTGTTTGTCCCCTACAAGTTCCCTAGGTTTGGGAAATTCTAAAAGATATAAAATTTATATCGGTTTAGCCTAAATTGTTGTTTATTATCCTTTGTGTCCAACAGTATTGCTTGATGGAGCAAAAAGGATGTGATTGATTTAATAAATTACTTTAATATTTACCTGGCCTTCTCAATAGCGTATTTGATATTCCTGTGTTGTGAGGAATACCATAAGGGTTGAGATAGGGACCTCTAGTTTTCACCGATATTCTTTTTAACGGATGTTCTTCAAAATGATGTGCTACTTGATAGGGGTTGCATTTTAAACAAATAAGTCACCCCCTACAACCCCTATTTGGGGGTGGGGTTGAATTTCAAAATGTCCCCAAAAAGTACTTTACATTACCCTAGTAACGTGCATGGAGGCTCGTTTGAATAAATGCAGTCGTTAAAAAAATTAACCAGGGGCCCATTATGGGACATCCTGTATAAACATAATCATTGCGCAGACGATCCATTATAAATTTTGTCTAACAGCTGTTTCGGTTCCCCGGGATAAGCTAGGCCACTTTTTTCCCGCCGCAACATTGTATTCAAGGAGACTATGGTGATAGTAGAATGTTATGATGATTTATCTAAGAATTTAAGGTTACACGCCATTAATTTTAAATCTGCTAATATTTTAAAATAAATATATTTTGAAACAGATATCTTTCTAGATGTTGGAGTGTGTTTTATGGTTTTATCTATGGTTAAAGTTTAAACATTACGTGTTAAGCTTGCTTATAATATTCCCTGAGCTTATCAACTGTAATATTTCTAAAAACATATGGACATTATTTACTTACTGAGAAACTTTTTGTAAATAGATTACGTGTAGTACCTTTATTTATAACCTAACTTTGCATTGTGATTTTAATACGGTTAAGTATGTTTGTACAGTTAAAATTTATATGTTAAAATTATTGTTAGTGATCTGTTAAGAGAGAATTGCTACCTCGAGGATGTTTTCAAACGAGTCAGACCAAGCAGCAGTGGAATGTAGGATCTGTCATAGCAGAACCACCAGGGACCTCATCCTGTCACCGTGTCTCTGCAAAGGTTAGAGTTGGGAATATAGAACAGTCACTCATTTTAGGGTACGCTAGGGCCCCCTTTGATAAACAACATCACAGAGAGCAATTTTATTTTTAATAGCTGAGCTAGACTGCTTTTATGTTTATTTTTTAACACTAAGTAATTTTTCACTGACCAAACAACTTGTGAAAGTGACCAGTCTTATTTCCAACGATATTATTGTAATGTACTGTAAACTTAATAGTGAAAATATATAATAATATCATTTACTCATAAATACTAGCCAAAAGGTCGATTAGAACGTATCAGATCCGGCACGTCAGAGCACAGTCAAATCAGTCACGTCACAGCCAACAAATGGATTTCCTATAGCGCTATCTACACTCATCCAATGCAGGTCCGTCAGTAGCTCTGCCGGTGTCCGTCAGTCAATTTAAGGACGTGTTTGGGGTTAGGACATTGTGTTTTTTTATTTAAATGATCGTGTTTATATTTTAGGTTCCGTTTGTAACAATCAACAAGATGGACAGTGAAAATTTGATACATTATTGTGTTTTAATTAAAAATGGTTGACTGTAACAGTAACATCACTGTAAATAAAGTAAAGCAATACTGACTGAAACCATATGACTGACAGTTTGACTGGTAAATTGCGGTTGCAACTGAGACTGGACTGTGACTGGTCTGTGACGGAACTGTGCCGGGACTGATATGTGTGAATTGACCTTTAATCATACACTATTGTTACAATTTTCTGTCGCCTGGATTATGCTGTAACTAGTTAATTACCAGGTGTAACGGTATATTTTGATCTCCAGGTACAATGGGCTGCGTCCACATCAGATGTCTAGAACAATGGTTGAACTTCTCCTCACTCAACTTCTGTGAACTCTGCTCCTACAGATTTGAAGTCATCCAAGTCAGAAGATATTCTTTGCTGAAGTCCATCAGAGTTTGGGTTAGCCAACAACGCGGATCGCTCTATAGAAGCGTATTTTGGGTCTTATTGTCCACCACAAACGCCATCCTTCTCAGTTGGATGTGGTTTTTATGGATTTCTAATTTTCCAGTGGCTTTCAGCCATGACCCTTTTACGGAGAACGAACCTCTTGTCAAGAATAAAAGTGATCTCAGCGAAACGAAGTGGATCGCGGTGTGTATCTTTTTAACTCTCTTGACGTCGATTTCGATCAAAAGTCTGTGTATTGATGGATACAGGAGAGTGAAAAGCGAGTTCTTCGCTTGGTACAGGTGGTGGAACCAAACTGTCAATGTGCAGCTGGTTTTGGATTTGGAAAATTACAAGATTAAAAACAGATTGGACGAGTTGCAAGACATCTCATTAGGATATGCGAAAGAAAAAGCTGGATTTTCAAATCAAGATGCCACAGCTGAAATTGCTGACTTTAGAATCGGTGAGAAGGGATCGTGCAAAGTCTTCCTTGATATGCCTGATACAAATGCGCCACCTTCAAAGGTAAGCTTTCCAGGCACAGCTAGGCCAACTGAAAACAATGAGAATATGTCAATCGATGATCCAAAAAATGTTCAAGATAACAACTTAAATCCCCAAGACAAAAAGGGAGATAGTGAAAGGGCGACCACGACTTATTCTTTGGACGTAATCTTTGAAAATCCGCGGCCAAATCCAAGCCTTGATGACCTACCCCGAGTACACAATCGAAATGGAACAGACCAGATGTAAATTTAGTGTTTTTTTCATAATAAACTCCTCTACTTGGAAAAATAAAAATGTTATGTTTATTAAAAATTGTTTAGCGTTCTTTTTTAAACAAGGCCTTTTCATTCAATTTCAGATAGATCCGTTGCATTATGTATTGAATGGCTTTTTCTACCAGCCATCAAAGATAGATAGGCTTACGTTGTACAATCCAATACAATACAAATTCTGTTAATTTTACAAGACATAGTAAATTTATTGAAGGCTTTTTAGTATAAAATGTTCCACCTGTGTACTGTTTTGAAATCAAAAAGACAATGTTACTTTAGTAAATAACGGTTCCAACCCAACGAAAAAGTTAGTTAAGCTTTAATTCTAGTTCAAACATTGTTAACAAAGCATTGTGATCGACATTGACGACAGCAAAGTTTCAGCGTCAGCTAACGACCAAATAATTAGCCACATGTGTCGAGCTACATACAGTGGAGGTGGAAAACATGTCAGTGACGCAGGAAACATGAAAAATGTGTATTCGAGTCTTAATGACAAATAAACCCTATGATAACGAAATAAATTTTTACAATTAAATTATAAAGAAATTATTTCAACATGATGTAAAATACATACAGTACATTATAATGCACAAGGTAAACAGGGGATGTAATTGCAAACATTAGTTTTGATAGCTAGATGGTCAAATGTTTTTTAGCTTGTTTTACCTACGATCGTTTTTAAAGTAGCCGTTTCAGTTCAGTTCTTAGAATTGGAAAGTTTCTCATAACAGCATGTTTACTTTCATAACAGCAAAGTTTTTCATAACGACACGGGTAATGGACCAATGAGGTTCAATGATTGAGAGAGAAGAAGTTAAATTGTAGCTGTTTAGACCAATTTAATTGTTGATGAGTGGTGCAATTAGTGTTTGGATAAGTTGTATCACTGTCAGTGGCTTTGAGGTTACAAACGAAAACATAACCACTCTTAGAAGTTAGTTATGAGTAGTGTTTGTTAGTAATTAATTAGTAATCAAAAAATGTCGTAGGTAAAGTAGTGCACGCAACTCGAGTACTATTACGTCATACTGCAACAAAAACAGCTGTTTTCAATACATGCCTTGTGGGACTACTAATCTATATATATATAAAAGGCAAAGCCCTCACTGACTGACTCACTCACTCACTCATCACTAATTCTCTTACTTCCCATTTACCTAGGAGGCTGAAATTCGGTACACCGATTCTTTGGGCATTAAATAGGAAAACTAAGTTATTTTTTATTCTGACCAGGCTTTCGGGCTCCGCCCCAGTGGCTCTGGAGTTTCCCATGTTAACCTTGTGATTGTTCATATTTAAAAGGAATTAAAGAATCTTAACAGCTGTTTCAATTAAACATGTTGGTTCTGTTCTATGATTTTCAATGGCATTAAAGTTACAAGGATTACCAACAGGGTGCAGCATTATTATTTTTTTTATTTTTTTATTTATGACAACACCTAATTTGCAACCAAAAGGTGAGTGAGCGTAGCGAACGAACTTCAACCTAGAGGCGAGTTAGCGTAGCGAACGAACTTCAACCAGGACGTGATTGAGCCATGCGAATACTTATGAAGTTAAACGGGGCAAAGCCCGCGGGTACAGCTAGTAATATATAAATTCAAACTAATTGAAATGTGCATCAATAACAGCTGTTCGTACAAATATGATAGCAAAACGAGAAGAACCCTGTTTTGGAAGGTAATTTGAAAAGGAGAACTATGAACGAAATTGACGTTTTGTGTGCTATTTATCTTAATGCACAACATGGTCTTAATGCACATGGGTACAGTATGATGAGAAATATAGTTCATCACACCTGCAAGAAGTAACCCTTTGGATTTGACCATCGATCTTTTCCGTTAAACTAAAACTACTGTAAATAAAATGTCTACTCACAAGACAGTTTCAAGAAAATGTTGCATTTGTATCTTAAAATTATAGGTTAGATTTGTATTCAATTATATCTTGTAGCTGAGTACGGTCTAAAAGGCAACATTCTGGTTTAAATCTAAACAGAGGGGGTTTTGTCTGTAGTGATAGTAATACGATTTCATATACAGTACTTACATACATTAGTTTAAATTTGTTAACAGGGACGATGTATTACCCAGAATTCCATTTCCTCGCTGCAGTCTCCAGTATTTCACCAACCTCACTCCACTACTTTGCTACACCGGAAGTACCACTTAAACAAGACTCTTCGCCTTGTTAACCTCACTTCCGCTCTGAGATTGTTTTACTTCTGGAGGGGTTTGAAGAAACAATTTTCAGATTTGGGAAAAGGTAAGCGGCTTACCTATCTTGAAACTAACTGTTTACGATATTTTGTTCTGTTATCAGCATTAATTAATCATTTTTTTCACAACGGTAGCTAATTTCAAAATATTATTTATTCAACTAATAAAAGAGTTATCAAGAAAAAACCATCGGAAAATGTTAACTTGATTTAATTGACTTTTAATAATAATAGTTTTCGGATTCTGTGATAACGAACAATAGTGCAATCACATAATTTATTTAAATCACGTTATTAAACCCGACCCGTTAATGATTTACCATGTCCTCATGGAAGCACTGAAGATAAATATTTTTAGACAGAACAGTCTATTTTTAACCACATCTCGTTTTACTATGTGTTTTGTGTTTGTAGCAATGTTTTAAGTTTTCTGTAAAAGTATGCCAGACCCTATGATTTGTCTTTTACTAAAGTTGATGTTTTATTTTCAAGTGACAATATAACGTTTTATAAGGGAACGGTCTAAACTCTGGTCCTTTTCCTATATAACGTTGACCTGTCGTTATAAAACATCATTAATTAATACTCCAAAGACAACATAGCATCGGGTCTGGTGACAATCTCGCTTGGAATCTAACCAGCGACCTGCATATTTAAAAGCGAGCATTATTAAATATTTAAACCAAGGGTACTCATACAGCTTTGCTGCATTATCATTATATTTAGTAGTTAGTACTTAATTTAATTTCAAAATAAATGTAGTTTTATTAGTTAAGATTGCAAAATATTTGTTAATCTGGCTGAGTAAAAGACTTTGATCATCGATTCATCGATTAATAGAGAAATGACAAATCCATCTGGTTCCTTACTCCCCATCTAGATCAGTTATCTTCAATTTTAACGCAAATTCGTCAACTTAATCATTTATAAACACCCGTTTACCTAAACGTTCTACTTCTTTACATTAAATGGCAATTTCAAATGTAAATAAAATTAATATTTTCAAAATTGTTTCGAAACGATTATTACAATCATGCGAAATTGCTTTCGCCGTAACAAATAAACGCTATAAACAAGAGATACTCCCCTGTTACAGCTCCCTTGGGGGTAGCAATAGCACGTTGTACAGACTGTACGTGCCTGTTCTACTATCATAAATCAGACTGTACATTGTATTGTTACTAAGCGTTTTGAATCGATAAACAGCACTGTTGAAAATTCTGTTCATGTGTCGTTTTGTTACTTTATTATTTGATTTGGGGAGTATGTTTTATCTATGGTTAAACATAGTTTTGATAGCAAGAAACTTCTGTCATTTACGTTGAATGGACTACATACACTTCTCATTATCGTAAAATTTAAATAATGTGTTTATTAATTTGAGCGAATTTCCCATATAGGGAATAAGCTATTACCGTAGTACTCGTGGTAAGACCTGGACCCAGACCGATTTATTTTTCCTTTTGAGGTCCCCAGAGGTAAAAAACACGATCCGTTAAAATTCATATGTCAAAAAACACTTTTTAACTTCCCCGTAGCAGCAAACCTAAGCACTCATTAAATCTCATGTTATTTAAATCGGGAATAAATATGTCTAATTTATGGAAATATTTGAGTAAAAATGTAATCAGACATGATGAAATTCTCTTAGTCTGCAGGTTTGCTGCGGCGGGGGTATTTTAATAAGCGTTTGAGTGCGCTGATGTTTACAAGTTCAGCCTGTTCCATAAAGATAACAATTGATATTTATAAAAGATCTATGCTAATTTAGTCTTCTGTTAAACAAAATAAATATAAACAGTACCTACAGTAATTCTTTCTCAGCATGGAAACAAATAAATATTTGTAACAAAATGTTTAACATACTTGAAAGTTCAAAAACATTGAAAGCTCGCGTGCCGAGGCTAACATAGTACAATTTCATAAGGTCTTGGTGATCGGTAGGACGTAAATTAGTTTTAAACATAAATAAACTATTACTGTATCTAACTCACTATAAAACACCATGAAAAATCTAAAATATCAACAAGTACTATCTCAAAGTTATGGAATCTACTACTTTTAATCAAAATTGAGAAAAATCTCTTTCCTCGTTTTTTGTCCAAACTCTCTAGTATCTACACAATGTATAATACTCAGCAGGCTGTAGAATATCAGGGTTTCATGCGCATATTGCAAGGTGGAGGTAAGGCTACATGTATAATATCCGGCAGAACGCCCACGGAGACTTTGTTGGTAGGCTTCATATCAGTTTGAGCTGATATTGTGAAAGAGAGCTTTGTTCAGGCATCTCATTTCGTAGTCTAAAACCTAAAACTATACCTTTTGCACTTTGATTAAATAAACATTTGAGTTTACCATTTGAGTTTAGATTGCTCTAGCAAATTACTGATTACAGTTTTGACGAGAGTTGGCAAACATGTATGACTTGTTGCTAAGGGCCCACACACTTGTATAATATTGGTGATATTAGATAATTAAATGAAAACCCTAAAAATTCTTGTCACCAAGACTGATAAATTGAAAAGTGTAATGGTTACGTATTTTGTCTTAAACATGGCACACCATACTCGTCCGGTAAATACCTATTTTCTTGACTAGTAACGTGGCACACTATTTTAAAGTATCTTCAAGGAAATTACATTTTATATTCTGTGTTCATCCCCCAACCGAAATTCGGGTTAATTTGCTAGAACAGGATATAGTTGATCAGTTACTTACCTTTAAAATATTAGTAATCTACTTGTAAATATTTAGGTTTGTATTAGTACATTTCAACTTATTTATAACCAAATTTTGATAGTTTCTAAAGTGACATTCT